TTTTTTTTGAGACAGGGTTTCTCTGTGTAGCTTTGGAGCCTATCCTGGCACTCGCTCTGGAGACCAGGCTGGGCTTGAACTCACAGAGATCCGCCTGCCTCTGCCTCCCGAGTGCTGGGATTAAAGGTGTGCGCCACCAACGCCCGGCGAGGGAGATTGAATTTAATTATTTCCATTTCCTGAAGATTACAGGAAACAGACAGCTTTTTATTATTTTTTTTTTCAGCAGGGCTTCCCTGTGTAGCGCTGGCTGTTCTGGAACTCACTGTGTAGACCAGGCTGACCTTGAACTCAGAGAGCTGCCTGCATCTGCCTCCCAAGTGCTGGGATTAAAGGTGAGCACCACCACCACCCAGTGACAGTTTTTTAACTTATTTGATTTGATGTGTAGGAGTGTTTTGTCTACATATATGCATGTACACCACGTGCGTACACAAAACAGTCAAAAGATGGCATTAGATCCCCTGGAACAGTAGTTACAGAGGTTTCTAAGCCACCTGTGGGTGCTGGGAACTGAACTGGTCCTCTGAACAGGCGCTCTTCACTCTTGAGTCATCTCTGCAGCCCCCAGGAGAAGGACGGTCGGTCTTTCAACTGTGAATCTGGAATGTTGACTGCATATTTTTACAGCTCCTAAAGTCAAGTGGAATGATCCAGAATAGACAGGAAGAATGCAAGCCTGGTGTTCAAATTTGAAAATGAATTAATGAAAAAGCCAGGTACGTCTGCCTGTAGTCATAGTGACTCAGGAGGCTAAGCTTAGCTGGAGGACAACTTGAGCTCTGAGGTTTGAGGACAGCCTGGGCAATGAGCAAGGTTAGAAGAACAGTGTGAGTGTTGAGGATAACCCTGACCTAGGATGCCAAGGACATGTGGTGGTGGTGGGGATGTCTCTGAGATATATGAACATCAAGACTACCATGCAGGGCTCTGGAGCCCTTAAACGGGAAGCTGAGAGAGTGTTCTTTTACTATAAGTATAGGCATTTTGCAGCAGAGGGAGACAAAGTGATAGCACTGGCTTAAAGGGTGGATCTGGTCAGTGCCCTGGCTAGATCTGATGAAGGATTGCTGGAAGTTTGACAGTGGGGTTGAAAAATAGGGAACCTGACCAGGTGGTGGCCTTTAATCCCAGTGCCCTGGATGCAGAGGCAGGAGGATCTCTGTGAGTTCAAGGCCAGCCTAGTCCACAGAGTGAGTTCCAGGACAGGCTCCAAAGCTACAGAGAAACCCTGTCTTGAAAAACCAAAAAGAAAGAAAGAAAGGAAGAAAGAGAAAAAGAGAGAGAGAGAGGAGAGAAGGGGAAGGGAAGAAAAGAAAAGAAAAATGGAAAGCCTGGGGCTGAAGAACCAAAGGGGTGGGGTGGGGGGCTGCTTTCTACTCCTGAATCGAAAACCAAGATGATTGCCGGACAGCTCACCAGACAACCAAATGTGTTGCTCTTCTGCTTATAACAAACTATACAAGATACACACGAAAAGTGCAGAAAACATGGAAGACTCAGAAAGCAGGAAACACACACAGTTACAGTGTACCTAAGTGACGCAGTCCACTTCTGTCATGGTTATTAAGAGTGTATCATACAAGCTACGACTAGTCCATTGTTTTATTTGGTGCTGTAGACAGAGCACAAAGCCTTGCAATGCCAAGCTACATTTTCAATATGACTTTCCTATTGTTGTTAATGATTTTTTGAGAAAGGGTCTTACTGTGTACCTGTGGCTACCCTGGAACTCACTTTGTAGACCAGGCTGGCCCTGAACTCACAGAGACACCCCTGCCTCTGCCTCCTGAGTGCTGGGATTTAAGGTGTGCACCACTGCAGCCAGCTAATTATTGTTTTGGGGTGCTGGGGCCTGGAGCCCCTGCATGCTATGCTAGTGACTAGCCCTGAGCTATATTCATATTCTTCCCAATGGGCACCTTGGGTTTTATTGGTCGAGCTTTCTTAAAACACAGTCCTCAGCTTCTGCTGGAACCCTTCAGTTCAACCTGTTTAACAATGATTCAGTATTACCAGAGAATTCACAGCCCCAAGGGGGTGAGTATTCCTGCTGTCAGTCATCATAGAAGAAGGCAGGTTCTCAAACAGGCTTCTGCAGGCAAAAGTACAATACATATGTTTATTTATTTGGGACTGAAGGGCGGCGGGACCTCCCTTCACAAATTTTTAAGGATTGTGGGACTTTTAAAGTTCTATCGGTTTTACATTATTTTGTGATATTAATATTAATATGTGATCTGGAGGATGAACAGGAAGGGCAGGTTATGTTTAATAGTGATGTGTTTGTGTGTCAAGTGGTCAAGGGGTCAATTGTACTGGTTGGCTTTTGCCAACTTGACACAAACCTAGACATACCTGGAAAAAGAAGACTCTCAGTTGAGTTGCCTTATCAGATTGGCCTATAGGCAAGTCTGTAGGAGGATTTTCTTGCTTAATAATTGAAGTGGGAGGGCCCAGCTCACTCTCTATGCCACCCATGAACAAGTGATTCTGGGTTGTATAAATGCAGGCTGAGTGAGCCATGGGGATCAAGCCAGTTAGCATCACCAGCCCAAGACTTCTGCTTCAGCTCCTGCCTCCAGGTTCCTGCCTGAGCTTCTCTCCATGGACTGTGACCTGGGATATGTAAGTCAAGTAAACCCTTTCCTCTCCAAGTTGCTTTTAATCATGGTCTTTATCACAACAACAGAAATCAAACTAAAACAAGGCATAGGAGTGTTTATAGAGAGGTGTCGGGGTCTGGAGGGGAGAATTAGAGAGTTATTGCTTAATGGCTTCAGCATCAACATGGAGTGATATAAGTTTTGGTAGTGGCTCAAGCACAAGTTGTAGACTCCTAAAATATACATTTTTGCTGTTGACTTTGAGTGATACACAGTCTTATATAGCCCAGAATAACTTCAAATTCCTTGTGAAACTGAGGCTGGCCTGAGTCTCCTGCATCCACCTCCTGAGTGCTGGCCAAAGCATACATTTAAAACTTACTAAAGAGCCACAGAGTTGGGTCAGTGAGTGAAGGACTTGCCACACAAGCCTGAATTTGAGTTTGGTCCCCAGAACCCTTGGAGTGGAAGGAAGGAACCATATACACATGACAAGCTAGCAAAGCAAATGTAATACCTTTTAAATAATAAATAATTAAAATGCTACTATGAAATTTTGTGTTTTGTGTTTTAATATTTAAGGTGTCTTAAATAGTTTTTTAAAAGATTTTATTTATTTATTCTGTATACAACATTCTGCTCCCATGTATATCTGCACACCAGAAGAGGGCACCAGATCTCATAACGGATGGTTGTGAGCCACCATGTGGTTGCTGGGAATTAAACTCAGGACCTCTGGAAGAGCAGTCAGTGCTCTTAACCTCTGAGCCATCTCTCCAGCCCCCTTAAATAATTTTTAATTAGTATTTTATTTTGTATGCATGAGTGTTTTGCCTGCATGTATGTATGCATACCATGTGTGTGTCTGGTGCCTGCAGAGGCCAAAGGAGAGCATCAGATCCTGGAACCAGAATTACAAAAAGTTTGTGAGCTGCCATGTGTGCTCTGGGAATCAAAGCTGGGTCTTCTAGAAAAGCAGCCAGTGTGCTTAGCTGCTGAGCCATCTCTCCAGTCCTCAGTATTTTAAATGATGCATTTTATGTTTTATATATAGTAACACAATAAAATGATTTTTCCCCTAAAAGGTTAAGTAGCCCACTCAAGACCATGTAGCTAGAAAGAGGCCATGCCAGCTTTGAACAGAAACCTGAAATGGCTCTTGAGCTGATGCTCCAAATACCTAAGCAGCCATCAAAACTTGGGGCATCTGGGTTCTTGCCACCAGTCTTGTGTGGCCTTATACAGACTGACCTTTGCAGATGTCATGCTCCTCGACTACTAAATAGTAAGACTTAAGTATGTGTGACGGGTTTGGCTTGTTGCAGCCTGATGACATGAATTACTATCTTTGCAGCACTTTTGACATCCCAGCATGCAGGCTCTGAAACCTTGATCTCATTCTGACACCATTTGCCTCTGGGATGTTCCATCACGCAGAAGCCCCAGGAAAAGGACCAACTATCTGCTCCTTAACCCGCTCCTCCTCCAGGGGGTTTTCCCTGAAGTTGAGCCAGCCCTTGAGGAGGCCGAATTCCCGCTCCTCTCCCTTTTGTAGGTGAGGTCTCAGGCTTGGATCTGTCCCAGGATAAACTTTTACAGGCCAAGAGATAACACAACTTCAAGGTGACTACCAGGGACGCCTTTTATAAGTCCTTCCTGACTGGAGTTGCTGCAGCTTCTCCACTCCACAGCTGGCTATCTGCCGACCACCATGTGGGAACTTGTGGGTCTCTTGCTGCTCATCCTGACCTATTTCTTTTGGTCCAAGTCAAAGACACTTGGTGCCAAGTCCCCCAAGAGCCTCCCATTCCTGCCCCTTGTGGGCAGCCTGCCGTTTCTCCCCAGACATGGCCATATGCATGTCAACTTCTTCAAGCTGCAGGAAAAGTATGGTCCCATCTATTCTCTTCGTCTGGGATCCACAACCACAGTGGTCATCGGCCAATATCAGCTGGCCAAGGAAGTGCTTGTTAAGAAAGGAAAAGAATTCTCCAGTCGGCCCCAAATGGTAAGCAATGCCAACCCTCCTCCTCCTCCTCAGCCCCTGGGGTTGTACAGTTCTTAATTTTTCCAAAGCCAGGCTAGTGGTGGGGGGCACTCCCTCAGATCCTACCCAACTCCTCCTCCTCCTCAGCCCCTGGGGTTGTACAGTTCTTAATTTTTCCAAAACCAGGCTAGTGGTGGGGGGCACTCCCTCAGATACTATCCAATCTCTAAACTGGGAAGGAAGAATTAAAGGGAGATCTCTCTTTTTTTTTTTCTCGAGAAAGGGTTTCTCTGTGGCTTTGGAGGCTGTCCTGGAATAGCTCCACTCACCTTCCCCTCTATTATTTGATAGTCATTCTGGAACATTCTGACAACTGCCATTCAGACCCAGAGCTGAAGTGCCCCCCCCCCAGCAGTGTGACTTTTAACAGGGGACAGTGATTGCATCCTCTGCAGGAAGATGCTGGGAGAAGCAGCTGGCCTCTGGGGGGTGGGGGGGGCTATGATAAGATAGCCCTGACCATGTGGCTTTGGCTCACTGATAGCTGGGGGAAGTTACAGGGGGACAGGGAACAGGGACATACAGTATCTGAAGGCCTCTGACCTCATTGCTGATGGTTAAGTAGTCATCCTACAGCCACCACCACCCATGCTCCCATGACCCTGCTGCAAGTGTTCCCCCGAGCACCCCATAAAACACAGCTGACCTCAGCTTTGAGCAGGCCAAAACTGATTCATTTTCCTTGGGCTAGTCAGCCAGAGTGGCCTGCCCCCATTACCAGGCTCCTCTCAAAAGCCAAAGAATAAAAGAGGCTGGCAGGTGGGGAATTGGAGGGTCAGGGATGTAAGAGGGAGACTTGGGGCCCTTGTGCTTTGGGGGTACCTTTCAGAGGAGATAGCTCAAGCTTAAGTCCAACCCAGGAGGATAAAAGCATACTACTATCTTCAAATGAGGGTTTGAGACTGGGTGCACAGACCATGCGTGGAAAGAGAAAGAAACAGCATGGATGTTATGGCTTTAGCAGCCTGGCAGGGGCAGGAAAGATAGGGAAGTCTATGGGTCTCCCTGTCCCTAGGACAGGCACACCTAACTTGGCACACCTAACTTACCCCACCCATAGCTGCCTCTCCTGGTTAGAAACCAAGTACAAAGGCGCCCTCCTAATAAATTGAACCCCAGAGCTATTTCATTCAAATTTGGGGTTCATTATTTGTCTCCTTGCTATACTGCCTCTCCTGGAACTTGTAAGGACTTTAGGGCCATCCTAGCAAGCGTGGAGCAGGGAGATTACAGCCCACAGGCAGCACTGCAGCTAGAGGGAGAAGCCTGAGAGTTCCAGGGGTTGCCTCATAATTCTCACGGCCCTGCCTGCTCTCCAAAGGTGACGCTAGGCCTCTTGTCGGACCAAGGAAAAGGCATCGCCTTCGCTGACTCCGGTGGCCCCTGGCAGCTGCACCGGAAGTTGGCGCTCAGCAGCTTTGCCCTGTTCAGGGACGGTGACCAGAAACTAGAGAAGATCAGTGAGTGAGAGGCTAGCCCACGGGCTGGGGAGCAGATAGAAGGCTGCGGGGCTGGGAAAGGATGCGGGATGGCTGGGTCCAACCGTTTCTGAGCGGCTGCTGCCATCCAGTGGCCAAATGTTCTCTACGTCCCATCCCTGGGTAAGTAGACCCCGCTAGAGAGGTGACATGGGCTGATTAATTCCTCCAATTAGCATTCCCTCTCTCCTCAGTATGTCAGAAAGCCAGCTCACTGTGTGACTTGCTGCTCACCCACAATGAGGAGTCCATAGATCTTTCCCTGCCTATCTTCAACTCAATAACCAACGTCATCTGTGTCATCTGCTTCGGCATCTCTTATGAGAACAGGGATCCGATACTTAAGACCATTAAGAGTTTTACAGAAGGCATCCTGGACAACATAGGCCACAATAATCTGGTGGACATATTCCCTTGGTTGCAGGTGAGAATGAAGCCACACCTCTCCACTTCCAGAGCCCCCTGGGACAGTGTCCCCAATACTTTCACTCTCCATGACCATCTTTCTCACCCAACTCACCCAGCAGTCATCTTTACCTGCTCTGCCTCTTACAACAGCAGACACTTCACTGGCATTTTTTTTATCCTCAAGGCAGGCTCTCATGTAACCCAGGCTAGCCCCGAATTGCTTGTGTAACTGAGAATGGCCTTGAAATTTTGATCCTCCTGCCTCCAAGCCTCAAGTACTAGGACTACAAGTGTGTACTAGGATGCCATGCTGGGTCCCTTTTTAAAATCCTGTTTCTTAATATTCATGGCTCTTGTTATTTTCCAACTGCAATGTGCCAGCAGTAAGCATCTGTGTTAATCATTGGGTTCCCCCTGGAGGTATGTCAAATTATCCTCTTGGTACAGATGAGAAAAACGGGCCCAGGCTGAACCCAGTTGAGGAACTATCCTCCTCAGTCTCCTCTGTCCTATGGAAGAGGGAAGGCACACATCTGTCAGGGCTTAGGGTTGAACTGAGCAGGGCGGGGCCGAGGAGTCCACCCTGTCCTCGTTATTACAAGTTGTCCTTTTTGGCCATGGTGATTTCATTCTGTTGTTGTCTTGCCTTCCTGGCTGGATGTCCAGGCTGGCGTGGGGACTTTCTTAAAGAGAAAACTAAGGTCTGCCTCTGGAAGAATTCTCCTAGCTGGACAGATGGGTTTGACATTTCCTTCTGTTTCCAGATTTTTCCCAATAAAACCTTGAACAAGATAAAGAAAAACATTAAAATTCGAGATGAAGTTCTGAGTGAAATACTAGAAAAATGCAAGGTAAGGGAGAGGGCAGAGGCAAGCACCAGGCTGGAGGTGTCTTGAGGGTAGGTCTGGGTGCATTTTGGACACTTTAAGCTCTCCAGAGCCTGGCGGGGGCCTGGCACACACTATGGGCTACCACTAGAAACTGACTTACTAATGAATGGGAGTGGGGAGGAGGGAAATTGAAGAAGTTCTTAGAAGGGACACAAGAGAGGACCCGTGGCTCTCGGTACCTCTACAAACTCACAGGTTCCCCTCTCCACTCTCAAGTGCAAGGAACCTTGCTGTCTTTAGTCAGAGATGGAGTGTGGCGGGGATACTGGAGGTGGGCTTCCTCCCCATTGTCATCTCTCACTGTCTCTCACTGCAGGAGAAATTCAACAGTGACTCCATGTCCAGCTTGATGGACCTTCTAATACAAGCCAAGATGAATGCCGACAATAACAACACCAGCGAAGACCAGGGCTCGAGTGCATTGTCAGACAAGCACATCCTTTCCACAATAGCAGACATCTTTGGCGCTGGCATAGAGACCACAGCCTCTGTGTTGCGCTGGATTATTGCTTTCCTGCTGCACAATCCTGAGGTGAGTGTCTCCTCACTCTTGTCTTCCTATAGAATCGGACCGGCCCCATTTGGGGAGGGGGGCATAATGCCTGGAGACTTCTGTGCAGATAACTCGGCTCGACTTCCCACACAAGCAGTGGCTAACTCTGACCCTGGCTTAATGTTGTTGCATCTTCTAGAAACGAGGCTTGGGCTGTAAAGCCATCACTGGATGGAATCTGTCTGGGCTGTTCTGGGTGTGACCACTGGGTTCTGCTAAGCCCACATCTCTCTTAGACTTGAACAACCTGGTCACGTGACCTTGTTCTGGCCCTCAGGTGAAGAAGAAGATCCAAAAGGAGATTGACCAGAATATAGGTTTCAGTCGCACACCAACTTTCAATGACCGGAATCACCTCCTCATGCTGGAGGCCACCATCCGAGAAGTGCTTCGTATCCGGCCGGTGGCCCCCATGCTCATCCCCCACAGGGCTAACATTGACTTGAGGTATGCCTTTCTTTCCAAGACACTCAGCCTAGGATGCAGCCTTTAGCTAGCCCATTTTGTCTCCCGTGCATGTCTCATCTGCCTTTAGCTGCTGATAAACCTATAATCAAACAGTGGCCGCTGTCCATCAGTCCACCCTAGCCAATATAACCACTGCCTCTGCTTCCCCCGACCGCCACTGACTAAGCTGCAGCGCCGTCTGGCTTCCCTCCAAACTTCCAGCTGCCCTTGCAGACATGGGTCTGGGCTGAAGGACGGGGTGCTCAATGAAGCACAAATGTAAGGTTGATAGGCAGTGCTTATTGAACGGATAAGGCTGGATCCAGCTGCAATCCTGGCAGAAGCCAGAAGCTGAGGACAAGGAGTGAGAGGGAATGAAGGCCTAGAGGGTTCTTGCCCCCAGTGGAGACTTGGGCCTGAGCAGGAAGAGGAAGGCAATGTTCCTGTTTCTTCTCTTTGTCTGGGCCAGCGTTGGTGAGTTTAGCATCCCCAAGTTCACATCCGTGGTCATCAATCTGTGGGCACTGCATCACAATGAGAAGGAATGGGACCAGCCAGATCGGTTCATGCCTGGTGAGTGTCTGTCTGTCCCATCCTGGCCCCTGGGCCACACAGCCAACCTGGATTCTGGTCCCTGGACCAGCACTCCTTCCTGTCCACTGGGCTTGCTACAAGAAAACGCTTGGCTGCATCCCCCATAGGCCTCTGGCCATTTCTAGTCTCTGGGAGACTGCCCCACACTCTTCACAGCTGGGCTTTCCAACTCACCCTTCAAATCACTTCTGTGGGAAGCCTGCAGGCATCTGTCTCCCAGTAAGGCCTGTCCCTCTTCTCTTGGATGGTGGCATTTTCTCCTGGTGAGACCTCTTCCCCTCTCTCCATCCTTCCTGAATATTTAATTTCCTCGTGGCTTAAAAGTGGGTCGAGTTTCCCTGGGCAAAAGCTTGGCCACTGGCTGATGCTTCCCTCTGTCTCCAGAGCGCTTCTTAGACCCAACGGGAAGCCATCTCATCACACCCTCATTAAGCTACCTGCCCTTCGGAGCTGGGCCCCGCTCCTGCATCGGAGAGGTTCTGGCCCGTCAGGAGCTCTTCCTCTACATGGCCCACCTGCTGCAGAGGTTTGACCTAGATGTCCCAGATGATGAGCAGCTGCCTTGCCTAAAGGGTGACCCCAAGGTGGTCTTTCTGATCGAACCCTTCAAAGTGAAGATCACAGTGCGCCAGGCGTGGAAGGATGCCCAGGCAGAGGTTAGCACCTAGAGGCCATAACTACTGTCCCCTGGTCCCATACTGTGCAGCTCACAGCACAAAATTAGAGGTGTTACTCCTACTGCCCCCTACAGTCCTCCTCCCTCCTGTCCCGTTTTCTGGTTTGCAGAAATGGAGGGTGATATGCTAAATTAAAGGTTTTCCAATAAAAGCCTCCAAGTTGCCTATCAGTTACTCATTTGCTTACTCGTTCAGCCAACAGACGTGCATCTTTATTTATTTTGTGTGGCAGGTGTGTGTGTGTGTGTGTGTGTGAGTGTGTGTGTGTGTGTGTGTGTGTGTAAGAACAACTCACAGGAGTTGGTCCTTTCTTTCCACCATGTAGATTTCAGGGACAGAAATCAGGACATCAATCTTGGTAGCAAGAACCTTTACCTGATGAGCCATCAGCACATTTTACTGAGTACATACTGTATGCCATTCCCTGACTCAGGACACTCAGCCTGTGTGGGAGGCACAGGGGACCCAAGAATGTTAAACATGCAGAGTTGTCCCTTCAAAGGGAGGATTGCATATGATCTGTTGTCTGCCCAGAAGGCTGGGAGCAGACATAGTTACTAGCCTGGTGACCTTTACAATATCTGTATGGTCGAGACCACTCCTGACCCTCCCCTAGACCATTATCGTGAGCTTGTCAATCCATAGACCCCATCTTTATGGGAGATGGCACATGTACTTTGTGATGTCATATGTCAAGCCTTGTTGTGCACATGGGATCAAGTTAATCATCACCAGAAAAGTTTTCATCAAATTGTGCTGTGCTTAAATATGCCTAAAATAAACTACTTAGAATCACACTCTTGAAGTTTGAATCAACACTGGCTATTGAGTCATGTTAAACAGGGGCAGAGGCTGGCTGTGCTCTGTGATTGTGAGGTCAGCCTGGTCTCCAGAGTGAGTGTCAGGATAGGTTCCAGAGCTACACAGAGAAACCCTGTCTCGAAAAACCAAAATAAATAAATAAATAAATAATAAATAAATAAAAAACAAACAAAAATCTACTTGGGATCAGACTCCCCAAGTTTGATCCAACACCACTTTCTTGCCTTGGTATTGTTACTTTGCAGGCCCAGAGACACTCCCCTACACACACACACACACACACACACACACACACACACACACGCACACACGCACGCATGCACAAGCCTGGTAACATTTTAGGGAAGACAGAAAAATGAGACTTTCAGATTTGTAAGTGTTTTGGAGTCAATGACACTGGAGATGGCATGGGGAAAGGGGCAGGTGAGGGTGTGGGGAAAGTGACCACTGCTGAAGGAGAAATGGTCTCAAGGTCACCATGCCCAGAGCACAAGTGGGGGGTGGGGCAGTCTCTGGTGGGTCAGAGTAGAGACGGGGCCAGCTCCTTGGGGCCTTTGTAAAGAGCAGGGAGTTTAGTTTCTATCCCCCCCACACAGGAAGTCACTAACATTTTATTAACACATGAGGGAAACAATGTGACTGGTTTTGTTTCCAGACAGGGTCTCTTGTAGCTCAGGCTGGCCCACCTTGCTATGTGGCTGAGGCTGGCCCTGATTCCCCTCTGTTTGCCTCAAAAGTACTGAGATTACAGGTTCACCCACACCGTCATTCCCGGCGTAACTGTCATGTTCCCCCTAGTTGCTTCATGGACAGTTAGGAAGGAGGCTGGTGCCAGCATGGCAAAGGGACAAAGTGAGGATCTGGGGCACGGCCTCAGCAAGGAGGGTGGTGAGCACTGACAGGACTGAGTCTTCGTTTGAAAGTAGACACTCTGATCCTGTCTAGTCGGACTATATGTTTTGTTGCATGTACCCATAGGTTTGACTTTGCGACCATGTATAACCCAGACTGGGCCTATCAGAGCAATGCCATCTTGGCCCAGGGATGGGTCATGTGACACTTCCCCATCTTTCCCTCAGATAAACAGGTGCCTTCAGCAGCCACACCTGGAATTCTCTCCCTTCTCCACTCAAAACACCCCAGGAGTTGGAAATGCCTCTGTTACCAAAGGATGGAGCTAATTCCTTTAAACTGGCGTTGTGTGAGTGCGTGCATGGATGTGTGTGAGCGTGTGCATGTGTGCATGTGCGTGTGTGCATGCAGGCAGGCGTGGGTGTGAGTGTATGTGCATGTGCGTATAGGTGTATGTGCAGTATGTATGTGGGGGATGTGTGTGCGTGTGTGTATGGCATGTGTGCCTGTGTGCACGTGGGCGGGTGGGCATATGTGAGAGTATGGGTACATGTGTGTATGTTTGTGTGTATGTATAAATGTTTGTGAGTGTATGGGTGCGTGTGTGTATGTTTGTGTGTATGTGTAAATGTGTGTGAGTGTATGGGTGTGTGTGTGTATGTTTGTGTGTATGTGTAAATGTGTGTGAGTGTATGGGTGCGTGTATGTCTGTGTGTATGTATAAATGTGTGTGAGTGTATGGGTGTGTATGTTTGTGTGTATGTATAAATGTGTGTGAGTGTATGGGTGTGTGTGTATATTTGTGTGTATGTATAAATGTGTGTGAGTGTATGGGTGTGTGTGTATGTGTGAGCCCAAATGCGAGTGAACGAGAAAGCACAAGCAAGCTGTGTCATGTGTGGGGCAGCCATCTTGTTTGCGGCTGGCTATCTTCTGCTGCTCCCCAGCTACCTGGCCTGCATCAGCTGCGTCTCCCATCTCTACCTCCTATCTCTTGGTTGGGGTTGTTAGACCCCCGGAAAACTCAGGTATCCGGGGTCCCAGGCCACGACCTCGGTCACCCCAATCACCAGGCGGATTCGAGAGCTTGCTGCAAACTGCACGAGGCTTTATTGTAATTTAACGAGCTAACCCCATGTTAGCTCGGGTCTTTTGTCCACCCACCATGGCGGTTGGCTCCAAAAGACAGCTCGAACCGGCTGCCGAGAGAGATCTTGTAGGGCAGCGTAAGGGGAGTGTCTAGGGGCATGCACAGGCTCACGATTGGAGTGCCTCCAGGCTTGGAGGGCTTGCCCTGTGTTGATTGGCCAATTGGTTGTTATGGGTCATAGGCCCTCCCAGGGTGGTTGCTATGCTCTGTGCGTCATTGCTATGCACTTGTCCGTAAAGCATAGCGCCACCAGCTAACTTCTGATTGGTTCCTTGTCATGAGGCAGGCACCTAACCTCTAGTGACTAAGACAAGGTCATAGCGAGCATGTGTTACTGGCATGGCTGCCGAAATGGGGAGCTGGTCCCTTCAGGGTATGCTATGATTTTGGGGTACAATATGATTACAGACATTTCTGCTGCTGTTTCTGGCCTCTATGTGGGTTCTAGAGATTCCAACTCAGGTCATCAAGTTTTGGACAGTAAGTACAGCGATCAATACCCCCAGCTGGAATCCAGCATCTTTAGACCTTGGCCAGTGGCCAGCCTACACATGAAGTCCCAGCCACCGTGGGAGACAGTGACCTTTGACTTTTAGCTTAAAAAGAGGGTCCATCCTCAATCCCAGCCAGACCCAGGTCAATCAACAGTTAGGTCCTTCACCTCTGATGAAATAGAAGACTCTGGCAAGGTCACGGGGCATGCCTGGCTGAGCTTCCAAAGGGAAGCAGAGGGAACTCCAAGGAGTTAGATCACAGCAAGACCACAGCCTGTCTTTCTTAAAAGAGCTTTTAACTCCACTGGCAGACTCTCCCCAACACTCCCCCAAGTCAGTCTTGCTCTTCAAGAACCAGTGACCCTCACAAGCCTTTTGTGGGGTGAGGAGGAGGGAGAGGGAGGGGGTTGTTGAAATCATTCATGTCAGGCTGAAGAAAGATTAAACTGGAGGTCACCCTTTCCCTCTCGCAGCTGGTTGTAGAGAGAGAGCCACACTTCCCAGGGATGCATTTCATCTCAGATCTGAAAGACACTTCATGAACTAGCAGTGAACAGACAAGCAAAGAAGCAGGATGAATCTTGGAGTGAGGAGTTAGCCGTGTTTTCCTACCTGTCCTTGGGAATCATGCAGGGGGCTGTGTCCTTAGAGAAAATAATCTCACAAGCTCTGACTGGTGCCCGGAATGGGAGACTTTCACCCACTGACCCGAATCATCCCTGGGTCTCTTTGAGGCTCAATGTAAACACCTTCTTCCAAGATTTAGACTCCTGTAACCAAATTACTCCCTTTGGCGTTCAGACTATTGAAATAACGGTTCCCAAGAAATTCCCCAGGAATCTCTTAGGTTAAGAAAAAGAAGAAGGTGGCTGGAACCTGGTGCTAGCCAGAGGAGGAAAGAGAGCTCACACACTCCTGACAACTTGTCACACCACCTGGCGAGAGACTGAAACCAAAACAGTCAAGGTGGCTAGGACCACACCTCAGCCGGACTGGCTAGTTACGCAGACCACTCCTCAGCCAGGGCTGGCTAGTTATGCAGATCTCTTGCAGCCTAAACCTCAGGCCCCCAAGACGGACTTGGTGGGAGGTATCATGGGATTTCTTTGTTCTTCTTCCAAAGATGACACATTGGTGCGATCTTTTTACTGCTTTGCACTGTTTCTGGTGTATTTAAGTGGCTGGTTGAAGACAGGTGGCTGAGCCTGCTCCTCCTGCTCCTCCTCCTCCTCCTCCTCCTCCTTCTCCTTCTCCTTCTTCTCCTTCTTCTTCTTCCTCTTGCCAGGGCCAGGATTTGGTCCTAACTGCTAATACCCCCAGGACATGATGCTCCACATCCCTATGGGATGCTCCAAACCACCGAACCAGTAGTCTTAGCCCTAAGTCTTAGGTCCAGCGCTGAATATCAGGAAAGATGCAGAAAGAAGCTCACTTTTACTTTGTTTGCTTTGGTTTTTCAAGACAGGCTCTCTCTGTATAGCCCTGGCTGACCTCGGACTCACAGAGATCTGCCTGCCTCTGCCTCCAGAGTGCTAGAATTAAAGGCGCATATCACTGCCCAGCCCAATGTTTAGCTTTTCATTTGCTCATTTTGAGAGTCTCCTGAAAATCAGGCAGGCCTGGAATTCTCTACATAGCTGAGGATGTCAGAATTACAGGCAAGTGCCACTGTG